AATACACTGAACAACTTTTACCTTGTGGTCATATCCAAAAACTTTACAGAATTCAAAACAAAAAAACACATAAGTTTCATAGTTTTTTCTTGAAAAAAAAAACAACAACAGCTTTTGCCTCAGGAAAATTAGTTTTTAAATTTTTAAAATTCGAAGACGAAGTCAAAAAATAAAATAAAAAATTGTGCAATTTAGATCTCGAGAAGATCTACAACCCCATATTTTTTGTTTTTGTTTTTTGAGAATTTTTTAAAGTCTAAACAAAATCCTGAAAGTCGCGGCCACACCCAACCGCGGCCGGAGCCGCGGCGGCCGTGATTACGGCCGCCCTCCGAGCTCAACCCTGCGGACACTTCCGCGGCTGTTTCGTAGGCGCTGCTGCGTTGTGTGCTCAAGGCCGCTGTGCGCTAGTGCTCGAAGGCGCACGCGGACGCGGAGGTGAAGGGCACTGCTAGTGGCAGCGCCATATCCCAGCCATAGCCGGGCTGTAATTGAGGGAGCTCAGAGGGGTATGGCGGTGGTCCTTGGGAGAAGGACATAAGTGGGGTGAAGACGAGGGTGAGCAGAGATAGAGAGAGAGAGAGAGGGCACGTACCTGGTTCGTGATGGCGGTCCAGACGCGAGAAATCTGTGCTTACATTGGTTTCTGCTGCTGAAGTCTTTCAGTTGTGTCGTCGTTAGGGTAGGCTGGTATAGGAGCTGTGTGATTGTAGTCTGGGCGCCGAGCGCCATATAGGAGAAAAGACATTGGAAACATTGTTGATGGCGGCGAGATAAGGGCTGATGTTGACAATTGAGTTCGTTGCTTTGGTCTCTTCTGGTGTGATATTGGTGCATTTCTGCTTTCTGGACAGCTCACGACTATCTGGCCTTCAATGTGATGTTGCCATGTGGAATTCTTTCATTTCGCTCTTGCTAATTTTCCTTGCAGGCTGTTCTGCAGGACTCTCACGGACTCGTGATACCCCTAACAATCCCCTTACCGCCTTCCTACTGATTTGCTAAAATCCATTAAGGAAAAAAAAAAAAAAAAAAAAACACTTACTATCTAGGAGGATTTTCATGACCGGCCGGTCACCCGGGCATGACGCCCGGGGGGGTCTGACGCCCGGGTGACCCGGTCATGGTAAAAAAAAAAAAAAAAAAAAATTGGCGGTGGGGTTTTTCCGCGCTCTCCGAGAGGAGCCTAAATTGGGCTCTTTTCTTTTTTTGAGTGTTGGCTGTCAAGGGGGGGAAAGGGGAGTGTAAATGAATTTTAAAGGGGCTAAAGGGGTTTAAAGAGGGGTGCCCTAGTGTGATATGGTTATTTTCTTTTTCATCTTTAGTTCTGTGAGGAATTCTGATGTGACCCTCAGCCAAAAGTTGTTT